CAGGAATTTTATATGTTCGTTCCTATTCCTATTTAGGATATTACAGAGAAGCTTTTTTAGAACAGCCCATGGTGTTTTCGTATTGTTTTGTTAATCAGTAAAGACATAATCTTCCAGTAAACTGTTGTGTAAAAGTCTTTTTCTTAATAACATCATCACAGTTAAATAAACATTTTAATCCTAACATCATCCAAAGACTATAATTTTGTTATATTGCTATACGACTTTATTTATTAGATGAAATTTAATTAGATGAAGTCTCATTTGCATAAACACAAAATGCAAGTAAAAAAAGTTCCAATACTCCAGTAATAAGAATATCAGAAACCAGATGGTGAAGTCTGATTGTGTTATCTGTTGCTTCAAAACGACCCTATTCAGCTGTAGTGTTTTGCATTAAGGACCACGGGTCCAGCACATGCACTTTTCTAGGTAACAGATACATGGTAATTGTACAGAATATGTCCCCTTAATGGCACCTTCCCAGGAACAAGGAAAAGTATAGTCTGGTACCTTTTCTTTTTTTTTCCGTGACCGTGTATGTTCTACTGTTTTAGGAGATGATCAGTCAGTGTGCTTCACAAAGCTTGTGTTCTTTGCGTGTTGATTAATGATGACTATAAGCTATGCATTTCAGGTTTTGTAGTTAACTTCTGTCGCTTTTCACAGAGTCCCTGCTTCTTTTTAATTCATAAAGAGCTTAAAGGCTTAGCATGTACTTGCGTGACCTTTCTTTCTCGGAATCCAGACAAAGCAGACTGCAGACTGGAGATTAAATGTACAGAAACAAGTTTTATTTGAATATTATGCAAAATAATCAGAGGGTTTTTTTTTTTTTTTTATATTTGTGGCCTTGTGATTACAGTGGGTGTCAGGACTTTTAGCAAGAACACGTGAGTGTTAATGAAGGCAGAACAACGGAAAGAGAAGTCAGACAGCAAGTTGCAGGTGAGCATTTCTGGAGGCTTCGTCTCAGTTCACGCAGCTCTGTTCTAGCTCCTAGCTCTCTTCGCCGTTCTCCCCTACTCCCTTGATCAGACGCTTGTTACCCCGTTTCCCTGTAGGGCCCTTTGGCTTGGCAAAGGCTTGTTTCAGGGCCTGTGGCTTAGGGTGAACTTCTTCATATAGGTACTCTTCCGTTAAGCCTTCTCCACTGTCTATTTCCATCTTTAGAAACACAAAACACGAATAAAAATGTAAAATGACTGGAAAGATTTCATGCAGTATGTTAGTATTTTGATCAGCTCCTAAAATCAGTCCTAACCCAGAACCCGGCACAGCAAAGCCTGCACATAAGGGAGTCTTATTCATAAAAACAATGTGCTCCATAATTAGAGTCGTCACTCTTTCTTGGAAATCACTTTCCAAGATTTGTTCCATGACTCATACACAGGATAGCTGCTTCTCATGAAAAGTTATCTTAGCCAACATGCTCAGCGTTGAAGTGTGTTTATTTAAAGGATTAAACATTAAATAGGTGAGTTAAACTTAGTTCAGATGACCTTTTATTGTATAAAAATAATAAAACTACAATTTGACACCTAAACCTGTACAAACATCTCAAATGTACTAGATTCACCTCACTGGGATTTCCCTGGTATAATAATAAAATAAAAGAAATAATAATGAATATAAACAAAATAATAATAATAATAATAATAATAATATAATATATGACTATTATTATTATTGGTGGTGTTATTAATTGTAATAATATTTATTTGTTTATTTAATCAGTTATATGGCAGTACAAATATTCTGTTCATAAAGTATATGGTTTGTCATTATTAGTGACATAGTGATGTAGTTAGTTATTAGTGACCTAGTAGCTCCACTTTACACTTTTCCAGGACATTTTCTCATTTTCCTGGTTTTTTCCATGACTGGAAAACAGGTCTATACATTTCCAGGTTTTCCAGTTTTTCCAGGATGCATTAGCACCCTGTTACCTACTCACTGGGACGTTACCTTTGGCGTATACAGACCACTGTACTCAAAAAGGGATTATAAACACTGATAATGGATGACCTAATTCCTGATTACCTTCTTACTGATCTCTATGCAGTAATCCCTCTCCACCTCCTCCAGCAGCCGGTTCTTACAGCTGGAGTAGAGCATCCGCTCCTTGATGCTACAGCTGTACCCAGGCATGGAGTAGATGAATACTAAAATTGCACAAAATGCAGGCACAGAGAATGAGAAAGAGGAATCTACAATATGTTAATAGTTAAACCACTTCGAGGAAACGACTGGTCTTTACATTAATGCTTGATGATATAAGAACGTTAAAGTATAACCTCTCTCCTATATTTGTGTACTGTGTCATCTTTAGCTTAGGTTAAATCCAAGAATAGATAGACCAGTAACAGATAGACCAGCAAAGTACTGGCCTCTTAAAAAAAAAAAACATACCGGCATGTTTCGACTGTGTAAAAAGTAGTGTATCGACTGCCTCTGTGTTTATCATCCACACAGGCAATCATTTCAACACAGTTCCCAGTACTAAGAAAAGGATGCAAAACCTGTTCACTCAAAAACTCACTTAAAATGAAAGTCAAAAACTTCGCAGCAGTCGAAGCTTCACTTACAATTTCATTCATATAAAGTCTAGTGAAATTACTTTGATTTCCTGTGTTTTTGCAGTAGATCAGGTTGGACAGGAACAAACAAGGTGTTAACAAACAATGCACCGTTTTCACCGATAAGCAGATATGTTTTGGTTGATTGCTTCCAGACGCATTTTGGTGCAGGTCAGAAATGTCAAGTAAAATTACACGAATGCCATTACAATAAGATACGATCTTTAAAAAAAAAAAAAAAAGATAGTGTAAAAATGGCACAATCTATGCTGCAAAGATTAATTAATGGTTTGATAAAGAAATTACCATTTTACTTGCAACTATAAAAATACTGAATGGCAGACACTGCTCTATGTCTCATTTTGCGTGGAATGAAGGACTTTGAATGGTTCATCAGAAAGCTCCTCTGTCTGACTGTCAAAAGGTTTAGTCCTAATACTTAAAGTACCAGCACTAGCAGCACATCAGTGTAAAAGCAATAAGAGAGTGCAAACTGTGTAGCAGTCTGGGAAATCCCTTCACTAGGTGAACATTTACATTTGCTACTATATATAGTTCTGAAACTACAGAGCTTCCTGAACTGAAGCTCTATGTTTCTCTTTTGCAAGTATCTACAGCTATAAGTTGCAGCATTTTAAATTCTGGTTACTTCTCAAAGTAAACACATTATTTATTTATTTATTTTTAAATTGCAGGATATTGCATTTAAGAGCATGACAGACATTCGGATTACAATGGATTACAGAATGAACTGAAAAGTCTTATGCCCATTTCATTACAACACACAGATATCCAACAACCTGTTGAAAGCGTGAAATTGTCTGTGTGAGGAAATCACTCAGGCAGACTGATGGCTATTACCATTGTGCTTGTTAAACTGGCTCCTTACCCAACATGATTTTTGCAGGCAGACAGCCAAAGTAAGGTAAAAAAAGTAAAAAAATTTAAAAATCCATGTTTTGGTTAAATATATTTATGGCTTAAGTTAGGCATGAAAGACCCAATTTTTGCCATAGAGGTGTAATGGGATGTGTTCTAAATGGATACAAATAGATACCAACAAGATACAAAGATGTTTTTTTTTTTTTTTTTTTAAATTTGGTCCTGAGGTGTGCACTGGGACTGGGATCCTGCAGCATGCAACAAAAAATTTGCACAAGTGAGTGGTTTTTACTTTTACACGGGTACAAACAAGGGGTCAGGTATGATTTTCAAAGGACAGAGATAGACCCCGTACATTAACATAAGATGCACGACTTTAGTTGTGACCAACTATGAACTCAAGCAATGTAGCTGAGATTGAGGGGGAAAAAAAAAACTTCCAGTTTAGGACACTCCCAATTCAGAGCATTAACAGATACAGATAATGTCATTCCGCACCCTATTTTGCTGAAACACATTTTTCAAGCAAATGTAGAATGATATGTGCACAAAGAAAGTAGTGAGAAATCAGCAGAAAAGCCTGGGGACTGACCCACAGCCTCCACACTCTGGCCCTGATACGAGTGTTTATACAGGAAGAAGTGATAGCGAGGAGCATCAGCAGGGATTCGGGCCGGCAGCTCACGAATCTCTGTAGGATTGGTATGGACCAGCTCGATTGTTTCTCTCTCAGTGTCCAGCCTCTGAGAATACACACACATGCACACACACAAGCACAAACAATGATAACACGAAGGTCAGAATGTGTGAAGGAAGTGTATGACACTCCTTAACGCTGAAATGTATGAAGTGTCACTTTTTAATCTTTGCCTTCTTGTACATATCTAAGTGTGTTTGTGTGTGTGTGTTTGGGTGGGACTCACTAGCTGGATGTAGTTGATGCGCCTTTGTTTGAGTAGCTGTAAAGCTCGTTTAGCTTCCTCCTGTAATGGGAACGCTAAGCCCTGCAGATTCAACGGCTTACTCTCCACACTTATCTGTGTCTTCCAGTTAGAAAATACACATACAGAGGCAGAGACAGGGACACACACACACACACACACACAGAACCACCATTATCATCATGTGAAGCAGGCTCAAGTTGCCATTAAAGCTGTATCTTAAAGCTGTGTGCCCTCAGTGTGAAATACTGGTACTGTAAGTGGACATTTGATATCAAGTGTAAAAAAAAATTTTTTTAATGATCCTTAATTTAAGACAGTCTGTTTTTTGCTACCACGCTGAAAGAAAAATCGAAAAATATTTGTTAAATTCATTTAAAAAAGCGCAGTTTGAGGGTTTTATGGTGTGATCTATGCAGAACAAAAATTAAAGAAATTTATAAAATGCTAAACAAAGCAAGCAAAGTTTTGTCCTAAACTAGCTGTGCTTCGTAGTCCAACAAACTTTAGCTAGTTCAATAAAACTAACATTACATTTACTGATTTAATGTGATTATGTTCAACAATATCATTTTTAGTGATATCTGTGCCAACAGGTGCCCAGCTGGCTCAGTCGGTAGAGCATGAGACTCTTAAATTCAGGGTTGTAGGTTTGAGCCCCATGTCGGCTGCCAATCCAGCCCCTGGAGTCACATGAGCTAGTGCACACTCAGTGCTGGCCGAAAGCTCGGATAAAAAAAAATAGGAGGGTTGTGTCAGGAAGGGCATCTGGCATAAAACCTGTGCCAAATCAAATATGCGGCCCATAAACCAGATTTCCATAATGGAGACGGACGATCCGCTGTGGCGACCCCTAACGGGAACAGCCGAGAGAACAACGAGTGATATAAGTGCCAACAGAACAATCAGGAACTATAACTACACTGGGTGAACGAGAAAAAGATATTTTTAGATTGTAAGTTTTCAGTGCTATAAATCAAATATAGGCTTGATTCTGTAAAGAGTTGAATGAGCAGCTACTTCCCTACAAAACTGAGATGTTTGTGAAGCACTTTGGCACATACAGTATGTAGCATTTTTCTTATCAACAATGTTAGAAAATTGTGTTACAGCTGTAACTGCATTTAAAAAACAATTAAGTTTTTTTCACTGCAGCACAAAGATCATTATTAAATTGTAAAATCACACTAAACTCTCTCTTCACCAATGAAGATGATTTTTTATTTTGAAATGCTGTTACTGCACCTAGGTCAGTTCAGTCCCTGTTGTGGGACGCAGGAGCTTTTAGTGGTCTGGAAGCTGGGAAGTTGTATGATTTATCTGATTATAGAGCTGAGTTTACCTTTCCTCTCCCAGCCGGAGTAGTGACTCGTCTTCGCTCCTCCTAAGCAAAAAGTAAATAATATATAGTGTCATTTTAAATACGCATATATTGCATGCGCACACACACACACACGCACACACAGTCACACATCTTAAACCACATCACACTAATAAGAACTTACCCATACAACCTTGTCCTGTCAGGTGCATTTCAAGCAATAAACTGTCATTAATTATGTTTGAGAGAAAAAAAAACACGTCTCCATTCATGTTCTAGCTACAATACAGTTTGAGAGGAAAGTCACATCAGGGTTCCAGTAACATGGAGTGTTGGCCTGCTCACCTCCGTGGCTTTGATCTGATGGAGCTCCTGTTCAGCTGCAGTAAGGGGACCAGGGCTGGAGGAAGAGGACATGTGGCGAAGGTAACCCTGAAAACACACATCCTCCTGTGGAGAAGAGCAAGGTCAGATAAATCTGATCTATCTATCAGAGCTCCTCCATCCCTACATCCCAGTTCGGACTCTCAGGTCCTCTGATACAGGCCTACTCATTGTACTTCATTTCCGCTTCTCCACCATGGGTGGTAGATCGTTTGCCGTCATGGCTCCAAAACTTTGGAAGTCACTCCTCCAGAACCTCTGAAATGAACCTCTATCTCGACTTTCAAATCACAACTTAAAACACATTTATTTCTTCAGTACTTTGGCTCTTCCCCTAACAGCTGAAATATTTATATCATTGTTCTTTTGTTTGCTTCAGTCTTCTTCTATGTTTCTGCTTTTTTTTTTGTGCTTCCCCTATGTCTATTAGTTTGGAATGTAAAGTGTCCCTGAGCTGTGGAAAGGCGCTATGTAATTAAACTTATTATTATTATTATTATTATTATTATTATTATTATTATTACAAACTAGCACATTTTCTCTCAACCTGGAAGCATCTGATGAGTTGTTAGAGCTGCTCCAGGATGTTAATGCTTAAAAATACTCGGAAATGGTTTCACATTTGCAGATTCGTAGGAATTCACAGGAGCTTTTCAAATGTTACAACCATTTATGGGAAAGGTGAGGGGTTGGGATTAGTGACTGTAGCATTCTTTTAACCATGTGGCTCTGACAGTAGTGCCGGTGATAAGGCAAATCACTAGTTATTAATAATAATAATAATAATAATAATAATAATAATAATAATGTGCTCGTTCTAATACATTATCTTTTCTATATTAATGCATAGGGACTTCTATGGAGGACACTCAACATAATCTAAATCTAATCATAAACAGATAAAAATGTGTTGTTATTTAGCAAAGAAAATCGTATAAAGGTTTTCGCTAAGGAGTTGTTTTTTGGAAGGAGTGTCAGTGTTTTGTAACAGTCAGAGGTAATGCTGTTCCTTTAAGTTGGCCCTTCATTGAAAAGTCATCAGGACAGAAGACTTTGTACGGTTTCTGGGAAACAAGCTGCATTTTCTGTCTTATTAACTTCAAGAGAAAATGAGAGAACAGCTGTTAATAGCTGTTAAAACTTAAGCGTTAACAGGAGCCAACATTGCTTCGTGGACTGAATAAAACTTTTTTTTTTATGAATCTGTTATTCATTAATAAATGTAAAAAATTGTAATCCTCGCCAAATTTCTGTGGTATGTCTATGAGGAATAAAACGTGGTAGGATGTGCTGTTACAGGAAAATAATCAACTTTGGGGTAGCAACTTCTTTCCACTTTGCATTGGACCACATCACACCACTTCGTCACTGATTATTTTCCTGTAACTGCACGCTCTGTTATGTTTTATTCCTTACTTATATGACTTGTGAACTGTTGAGTAATATTAATTAAATTAAGAGAATAGACTCACTAGTAGATATTCCCACACTGTGGAAAATGGATGGATGGATGGATGGATGGATAGATGGATAAATTAATAGATATTCCCACACTGTGTAAATGGATGGATGGATGGATAATTTAATAGACAATCCCAGACTATGTAGATGGATGTATGGATGGATGGATGGATAAATTAATAGATGTTCCCACATTGTGTAAATGGATGGATGGATGGATGGATGGATGGAAGGATGGATGGATGGATAAATTAATAGATATTCCCACACTGTGTAAATGGATGGATGGATAAATTAATAAATTTTCCCAGACTGTGTAAATGGATGGATGGATGGATCAATTAATAAATATTCCCACACTGTGTAAATGGATGGATAAATTAATAGATATTCTCACACTGTATAAATGGATGGATGGATGGATAAATGGATAAATTAATAGATATTCCCACACTGTGTAAATGGATGGATGGATAAATTAATAAATATTCCCACACTGTCTAAATGGATGGATGGATGGATGGATAAATTAATAGATATTCCCACACTGTGTGGATGGATGGATCAATTAATAGATATTCTCACACTGTATAAATGGATGGATGGATGGATGGATGGATAAATGGATAAATTAATAGATGTTCCCACACTGTGTAAATGGATGGATGGATAAATTAATAAATATTCCCAGACTGTGTAAATGGATGGATGGATGGATAAATTAATAGATATTCCCACACTGTGTAAATGGATGGATGGATATGAGAATAAGAGCAGTGGATAATAGTAATGACAGTCACAGTGTTGACAATAAGGACATGTCAACAGTGAAGCACTAAAATAATGACATATGTAACAGAATACAGTATTATGTGTAACAGCCTCCACACATCTACCTACTTGTGTGGTTCCGAATAGTTCATCTTTGATGTGACTTCCACCAAACTCCTTTTTCAGTGTGGCACGAGTGGCAGCATACACCATCTTCAATCGCACCTGCAGCAGACAGCGAATCAGCACGCAGGCAGAGTGTGATATCAGAGTACCAAAGTGCCATACAGTACATATCTGAGGCATGTGTCTGAGGGTGTATCTGTGTGTGCTTACAGGCGACTGATCTGGAGACCAGGAGATGAAGAGCCACTCGTAGCCCTGCTGGTTCTGCGTGTCCAGACGGAACAGGATGTAGCATGGCTCCGACAAATCCAACAGAGGCAGAACACATGGATCGTAGTCCCGGTCCCAGCTCTGAGAGGGCTCTCTGTAGGACCCCAACACCAATTGCTCTAAACACACGCATGCACACACGCACGCACGCGCACCCCATAGGCAGCTTATCAGTCCGAGTCTCAAAATAGTATGGAATGAAGAATTCTTTATCACATACTGCATGCACTGCATATTTCAGCCATGCTCTGGCAAGTCCTCAGTACACAAATAATGTCAATTTAATCTCTTCAGTTTCTCAGTCATTCAAGACGCTGTATTATATTTAAAAAATTCTCTTGCACTTCCTAAACGTTCGAACATTATTTACAATAATGTAATGTACATCTGCAACTCGGATTCTCTTACTCACCACTTCTTATGACAATCTTTATAACTCTGATGGCTCCTTGCCTTGCTTTGACCAGGAACTGCCTCAAATCCGCAGTCGCTAGAAAAGTAATGGAAAAGGAACCAGTTATGGATTGGGTTTTCTACTTTTGGCTTGCATACTGTATGTAAACAATTCTAAGGAATTAAGCACAAGACTTAACAGAATACTCCAGCATTTTGTTGCCTAATCTATAGCTACAGTAAAACAGTAAAGCCAATTAAACAATACTCATTTACAATGGAAGTCTATGGGCGGTTTTCACAAAATTCCTTAAAATCGTTTGTAAATTAAGCACTAAATCGGTATTATTATCATTTTAAATGTTTATTATAGGCAGCGTGGTGGCGCACCAGGTAGCATTACTGCCTTACAGGGTCCCTGAGCTCGGATTCCTGTCTATGTAGAGTTTTACATATTCTCTCCATGTCTGTGTGGGTTTCTTCTGGGTTCTCTGATTCCTGCCAACCTCCCAAAAAACATGCCAGTAGATGGATTGGCTATGTTAAACTCCCACTAGGTGTTAGTGAGTGTGTGTGTGTGTGTGTGTGTGTGTGTGTGGTTCCCTGCAATGGACTGGCATCTGGTGTTCTCTAGAATCACTGTGGAAATCCTGTTTATTGGCAGAATGCCACTTCAGACTTTTCTGTTCTTCTTTCAGTACAGATAAACTTCTTGAAATTCCTGTGTGTGGTATTTGCACATATGCTACAGATGCAGTAGAGATGAATAAAAATTACGCTGAAAAGTCTTGGGGTATTTCTTTAACCCATGCCTTGGGGACTGAGACAAAGAAATGACCTCTAATACAGTTTAATAAGAAAAGAACAGATTCATTACTCTATCAGGCAATGAAGTGAGCTTGAGAAACCTTAGCTATCACTGTTACTATCAAAGTTTGGCAAATA